CTAAAAATAGTGTGTGGCCTTGGGTCTCAAGGATACAGCTCACAGGTTGATCATCAGTCCCCAAGGGCTAAGTTCTCTGACTTTTCCCAATGCATGTTTGTAAATATACACAGCTCAAAAAAGAAGAAAATTGCATTTTCTTTGTGAGTGGTGCAGCAATATCAAAGTACTGTATTTCCTTCAAGTTTGCCTCTGAAAGGCTGATGAGGAATACACGAGAGTGACCGTTTCTCGAAGTAATCAAGGCGTGGTACTCTCTAAAAGTTGGAATCGTGGGCGTGATTGCGTCGAGTACGGGGACATTCTTGACGTCTTTGTGGGTGTGATCCGAATTAATCGACTGACATTATGAGCCTCGTCGTCATCGACAGATGTGAGTTACGAAAGTGCACAAGTATTTTTTCGGAAGTCTCGCGGCTAATCGACGTTTCGCACGACGGTCTCTTCCCAGATTGCCCGGGGCTTCCATAATGATTTTGTAGAACGATCAGCATTCTTGGACGGATTTTATAACTTGTTTTCTGGCGCAACGAGAATGTTTCCTCCGAGGCGAGTCACTTTGTTGGCTTCACATCACTATTATTCGAGATGGCTGCAATCTTCCCGGATACTTTCACGATGCTCTACCCATGTTGGTATCTTTTTAACTACCTCGAGGAACTCTCCGAGATAGATTCCGAGGCTGTTGCAACTCTTTCGCTGGAGATTAGCATTCTGTGAGACGTAAATCACAATGCTGTACCCCATGTCTGACGAGGATATATGTCGAGGCTCAGAGTAATCCGTGTCACTGTAGCCACATGCAAACGCGTGAAGTTAACGTCAAAGAATTTCCAGCGGCCCGAAATTTAGAACATTTCGGTTGTGGTAAATGCGTCAAAAATGAATGAAAGGTTGTTAAGCTATTGACGGTATTTACCGGAAGAAGGACACTTTCCGGGTAATTCCATTCATCATAATACCTGGTGTGTGTGTGTGTGTGTGGTTAATGACGGGGCGTAAGCAAAAGAATAGCCCAAAGCATACATCGGAAAAGTGTTTTCCGAACCGAATTTGCATGAAATCGACATAACGTTTTTTATGGCTTCTATAATAAAACTTGCAATTTAGACCCTATTTGAAAATGTTTTATTTGCTGAATAGAATCATGATTTATCGGTACTTCATCCCTGCTACCAAAAACGCATTTTTCCAGAAAATACTAAAATTGACTGATTGTCCTCGATATTAGATGACTTTTTTTTGTTCCCGAAAATGAAATGAATTTTTCAACTCAACATCGAAGTCTTACAAAATGTTCGTATCCACAATCACTGGGGGAAAGTTTCATTTTCTCTTGAGCAAACACACTTGAGAGATGCTATTCTCTCAAAACACTTATAATTTTACTGAAAATATTAGGTTGTTCTTGGTATATTCCAGGAAACTATTGAAATTACCCCAAGCTTTGGAACATGAGGAAATTGTTCCCTCTTGAACCGAATTTCACGTTGCACTTACCTAATTTCTGGCTGGCGCACAAAAACCGCAAGCTCCATCTATGAGTCTATGAAGCTATTAAAATTAAGTCAAGTTCTATGGAAAACCCATTCGAGCTATTCTCCAGAGCGTCTTCGATTTTTCCCATAGAAACATATTGCTTTAGCTCTAGGCACGTTCTGGGACAATTCCGTGGTTTCTTTTCTCTGAAATCATCGACCGGAGCTTAATGTGCGGATCATATTGCGTTCCCACTCGAATCGTGACCATCCCATCAGTGGGAGCGCATTTCGTTGATCAACCATGGAAGGAAATAGATTTGCTGCGAATTCCTTCACGATTATTTCCGTCGCTTGATTTCTGTGAGGCGTGATAATAATATTTTTCCTTTGGGACGTGAATCATTGACATTCCGAGAAAAAAAATAATTGAGCGTTTTGCTGACCCATTCTGGGTTAATGTTGATGCTAAACATGCGGGAAAGTTCTGTCACCACACGTCGTAAAAGGTTGTGGGTTTATTTCGCGATAGAGAGTGTGCAGAAAGCGTAAATATTTTTAAGCTTGACATAACGACCTGGCTTGTCGCCAGAGCTGCACGAAACTTCAAGTGCGTGTCGCTGAGAAATAACCGAGGTCAATAGCATCTAGAATATAACGCGAAAAGCCAACTCCTTGCCTGAAAGCAGATTCGCCGACCGAGCTTGGTAGAAAGAGGCTATTCGAAGTGGAGGGTTTGAAACCAACGCAAATATTTAATGCAAGGCTCCTCCGTCTGTTGGTGCACTGAACAAGTGATCAGGATCGATTACAGATTCTTCGGAAGGGAAGGTTTTAAAATAGGTTCCACGGTCCCACGAATTGTGTGATATGTATCAGAAAAATCCACAGCGTCGGCTTTAGCTTTCGTTGTTCGTGCTTCTCAAGGTAAACACGCGGGATAAGAACAGTTCAGCAGGTTCGGGATAAGAACAGTTCAGCAGGTTTTCCTTTTGAACACATTCACAAAAGTTGTGTCTAACCCTTTGTGATACTAGCAGGGCTTTCCGAAACGTTGCTTGTTTTTAGTTAACGCGCAAAGGTTCTCCGAAAGGCATTGGAATCTTGTGTAGGGAAAGGGTTCCACATTCAGTACTCTAATGGTGACTCGAAGACCGGAATTCTTCCGAAGTAAATCTCTCGTAGACATAAAAAAAAAAAAACGATGCGAGGAGGATTCATTGTGTGTGAAACGTTTCCGTGTGAACCGATCCTTTTAATCCAACGACACCTTCTGGCGATCATGTTTCCTCAAAAAGCATTCAGTCAAAAAATGAGCCTACTTATATTTGCAGAAAACGCAGTAAATACAGTATAAGCTATACCCCCAAAAATAAGCCTTGATGACTTCTCTGAAATGTGATGGAAAAACCTACTACTGTTTCTCCGCGTGGAACAACACCATATGCAGATACAGTAGAATGTTCCTCCCACATAACTAATTACTGTATATCACGAATTATTTTCTGCCCATTTCCTCTCCACAGTACTTTGAACATTCCCCAAAGTGAAATGTACAGTACTTCTCTCTTCCAAAAAACTGAACATGTATTCCAAGTTTTCCAACCCTAATTCATTGAATTTCTTCTCTTCTTCGCCGTAACACGAAATTCGTTCATGGATGAATCATTCCGAAAGAAAAATAACAATTGAAAGCGTGCTCGTATGAAGAAACTTACACTGATTAAACCGTATTTCGTCAGAATGGGGAGCGATTTTCTTACCGCACTCGGAATCTTATACGCGTATGAATTAAGTGCTCCTTCTTGGAAGTCTTGATCGGGGAATCAAAATCTTTCTTCTGAACCCATTCGCGTCATGAACTCCCACCGACCGACGAGATAAAATTTCCTCCCGCGCGTTTCTTGTCGATGTAAGAGACGCAGGCTGTTGGGGGGGGGGGGGAAGCGTGAAATAACTCCCCGCTCAATATTACGACCAGAAATTGCGGTGGGTACAGGCAACGCGTATTTGAGATGCGGGGAATCGAAGTGGCGGAATGGAAAGGAAGACCGCGGTCATTCCCAATGGGAGCAGGTGTAATAGGCTTTGAGCGCGGTTGGCTTACGAGGGAGAGATACCAGTGCTCCGTACCCCAGCCTGCAGTGGGATATCGGAGGAATGCCGGAAACAACTATACCAGTGGAGCATCCTGTACTAGCTTGGCTCGGCGAGGTGAAGAACCTCACTCCCCCAGGGAGTCCATTGGGACCCTCGCTGATAGCTGCGCATGCGCCACAAGGGCTGCCTAGGCAATCGCGATTTCATGCCCACTCCGTCCGTCAGGCAGGGATTCTCAACAGCCTCTCAACTAGTACCTGAATCCTCGGATAACTCGTTACTATTCGTTTACGTCGGTTTGAAATATCAATGACGAAAAATTGAAGAAATAAGTATGAATATACATCGTGCTTCCCACAAATTTTCATCATTTTCTAATGCGCCGAACATTCCACTTTCAGTTCAACATTTGGGTCATACTGATGTTTACAACCCAGCGTACGTTTTCCTTCACTTCGTTCGCAATTTTTACTTTGAGCAACATTACTTCAGGTGTGAAAAATGAACATTTTGCAATACCGCCAACCAGGGAGTACATGTCCCAGAGTTGGTATGTGTACCACTGTTCAGCCTCCTGGTAATCGTCGTGATTTTTCTTTTCCCGGAAAGTCATTGAAAAAAGATCTTCGAGCAATTCGCGATAAATTAAGGCATCCATTTAAAGCGAAGCCATATGAGATTCTCGGATTTGAGATCACTCTGATTCTTAAAAATTATTAATATTCCGCGATATGTAGCACTGCGGCATGAATCAGTGGGAAGTTATTAATTCGCGGAAGGCAGAGATGACGTCAGACCATGATCGGATGATTAACACACAACTGTACAATATATTTAAGCGATCGAAGGCCGCTTTTTTTTCATAGGGAACTGCTTTGAAACATTGGCACAGCCTACACTTGGTATTTTCAAATGCGATTTACCTTAGGGAAAACGTTTTCGATTTCGTCTGACTGCTGCGTTTGAAAAATTGGGCAAACTTCGGAAGTTTAAAATAATTTAATGAGGAATCGATCTTTGCCAGGTCGGCAATCAAATTAAGATCATGCAATTTTCACGAGAATGGAAGAACCGTGAAGTTCACCCGCCAAATTTAATTTCGGCCTTTCTTCTTGAGTAGTTCGCATTTCTCTCTGTTTAGAAAATTTCCACTTTTATTGCCAAATCGCGTTGGTTCCTTGCAATGGCTTTCCAAAGTCAGGCTGTGGCCCAGGTCCATATGAATATTATCAAGAATAAAAAAAAAAGTCGAAGCGTTTTATTTTCACTACCGCGGTGGAGGTGAGTGTTTTTTTTTTCTTTCCCCCGTCGGAGTCGCCGAAGTTGTTGCCGCTGGCCACCGATTCCCGGGTGCAAGGCGTCCATCGCACCTGTTACATCCACGCGCTCTTCGGAGCGGCCTAAAGCCCGATTTCCACCTGCGCAGAGAGTCGCGCGGGAGAGAGTGAAGCCGGCGCCGAAGCCGGTGTAGTGTCGGGCGTATTTGGTCACGAAGTGAACGAGGGACACGGGGAGCTGGTCGACGTCTCTGGACCCGAGGAATCATGAGCGATAGCCATGCAGCTGGTGGCTCAGACCACCACACGCAAGACGACGAGATGGTCGCCACGGAGCGTGATCTGGCGGAGGACGCCCCTTGGAAGCGCATCCAACAAAATACCTTCACGAGGTACGCTCTCGATTTCCCCCTGTCCCCTGAGTTTAAACGCAGTGTCCTATATATACATAAATCTATTATCTTTTCTCTCTCTCTCTCTCTGCATGCATGCACACTTTTTCCTTTCGAACCCCCCGAGGGGATCGTAGTTTTCTCACGCCTCGGCTGTGTGTTGTGCAATCGCGGGTGTCGAATTTTCATTCGCCTAGAGGCGACGTGATGGGCATGACAAACAAGGGTTCCATTGTATTTCTCGTGTGGTGACCTCGCCGTTGTGACCTGATCCAGGAAGTACCCTTATAGTGAGAGAAATGTATCGTGGGTTTTAGTTTCCACGTCGTGTCTTCTGTTTATCACCACTCTCGTGATCACGGTACACGTTTTTCTCATGTCACGTACGTGACAAGTTCGTGATTTTCCCTCTCGAATGTCATTGAAGAAGCGGAGACACTGCGATGATGGAATATTTCAAAAGCTTGTAATACTAGTACAGTACTTCATTGGCTTCGAGATTTTTATGGTTATTTCTTATGCGCAATTTTGTAAATGTAACACGTTCGAGTGTGGTCTTCAAGCTGCTCAGCTTTTCCCTTAACATGGGCCCTTACGGCTAAAGATATAATCTCTTCAATTAATGAGCCAGGAATCGTTCGAACGTAAGTGAATTCAGTTTAAATCAATTTAATTCTTCGAACTGACCATTGAAATGTTTCTAACTCAAATATTGGTGAACAATATAATGCATTGCGACTTAAAATTTAAAATAGGAAAAACTTCGAAGCATTTGGCGAGGGACTCGAGGCGCAAATACTTACACCGAATGCAATACGAAATATTTAGTGATTATCACGACTCAAGCAAGTAATGAATGTCACAAATTCCAATTTGGAATGAAATAAAAATGTCTTGCCACGGCTCTTAAATACCGGAGAGTTCCTATTTTCTGTTGAGAGTCAAGGGACTATTTCTTGGATTGAAATCCCGGAGAAGATATGAGGTTATTTTTTGCGGCGTAAAAGTTGTGCGTTGAAAAATGAAGCCAGATACCTTGAATATGCGCTCTTCCGGTTTCATTGGGACATTTTTAATAAAATACTGCGCATATGACGCGGACTGCCTGAAAATAGTTCATGAATCGACGTTCACTGTAGAAATCGGGGGAAGTCCAGTCTATTCGATTTTGTTTTATTTGCTTGGGATATTAATACTGCTAAACAACCTTTGATTTCTGAGACTCAGAGGGGTCGATCAATATTTTCCATTCGTGAAGTCGACCATAGAAGAGAATGCGTCGGAGGCTCAGCAGTGCAAATTTGTGAATACAAAAACATATTTGCCCGAATATCTGTCGAAAATCTATGCAAGTTGAAGACTCGCATTGAAACAGGTCAGGCGAGACATTTCGACGTAGATTTATTCTTGGTATTTAATCGCAGCGTAAGTTTGGCCCACAAGCCTTGACAGAGATAAGCGAGAAAAGGGACCAAGAATCGTGGGGACTGACTGGTGTTGACTTCACGTCTAGCCCTTTATTTACCCCTTACGTCCAACAAGAGAAATTTATTCACGACGAACCGACATCAACAGCATCCCTTAAATCTTCTACTGACTCGGTCATGTTGTTTATTTTAAAATCGCATTTTTTTTCTTAGATGGGGCAACGAGCACTTGAAGACAGTCGGCAAACACATCGGGGACTTGAGTCAGGACCTCGCCGATGGGTTGAGGTTAATTGCGCTGATCGAAGTCTTGGCCGGCAAGAAGCTGCCCAAACATAACAAGCGTCCGCAGTTCCGGTCGCAGAAACTAGAAAACGTTTCTGTTGCCCTGCGCTTTCTGGAACACGATGAGAAAATCAAGATTGTTAATATTGGTGAGTGGCTTTACTTTAATCCCCTGTTTAAAAAAAGTTATGCAGGAAGTACTGTAATTTATTCACTTGCCTGCAACGTACGTCCCCCCCTCCTGAATTTGACGAGTGAAAAACCAGGGGGGCGTCATACACGAATGTCTTGTCAACTGAGCTTAACATTGATTTTCCATTTCTTTTCGTGAAAATAATCGTGGGTGCACAGGACACGTCGTTGAATTTCGGGCATTCAAATCTGTGCTTAATTCGTTCCCTTTCTAAACAGGAGATTAAATGTTCCCGTTGAAATAAGTGGTTGGTTTTGTGCATTTAAATCGGCTGTTACTTTCGCGTGTCACAACTCGCAAATACTTGTACACCTTGACTGCAGAACCACTGCGATTTTCCTTGTTCAAAAAAAAAAAAGCATCAATTGTGCCCCTAAATAAACGTATATTCTAAATTTATGATTATGCAAGTTTAGAACAAAAAGCACGCATGGAGTTTGAGTCACATACTGAATCTATCCGGATTCCACAGACTGTACTGTATTCTTATCCGTTGTTGTTATTTCATTATTCGAGGGCGTCTGAAAAATTTACTTTGCATCCAGCACGTACTGTTTTCTGACGGCGAAAAAAGGAGCTAATCCTGCAGTGAGTTAGACTGATTTTGAAATCCTTTTTTGTCATTTTAAATTAGTTTTTACTTCTCATTATTTCACTGGATAGTACACCAAAGAAAACGATTTCATTCGTTTCAACGAGTAATTATTTTTTGGGGCAAAGTAAATGGTTGGGGTAAATAAAAGGGGATTCATTCACCGCAAATGCTACCTTACATGTATTCCGCTTGATCGAAGTTTTCTGCCATAGGTCAAAGAACAACTTCAGCGCAGGATAAATCATGAACGCATTGTTTCCCATAGACTAGAATTACAGTATTGCCATTACTTTTGGGGTATTTTTTAATCCGGAAAATTTCGCCTTGATGCAATCAAGTATTTTGGCGACGATCTTTTTCTGCAAACGTATCATTCTTTATTTTTGGTTCGATATAATGAATTTTTCACAGACCACCGGTTCGTTGTGTGAGATCCGTTCGTTATTAATACGATTTTCCCGCGAAACACCGGTCCGTCAATTGTTAGTTTCATTAAATTCCGGTTGTATGAGTCAGCACTGCACCTCATAAGTAAAATTCAATTACCATTTCAATCATTTCAAGCTAATTTCGGCACATTCATCGTTACTCAGCCCAAATGTGCAGAACTTCGTTGAAATTTATCTATTTCGTCAACGAGTTCACGTCAATGCGTGACTCATTGTCGATACTTTCGCCGTTTTAAAATCCTTTTCACGGCGCTAAAATACTTTAGTGGGCAACGTTTTCGAGGATTTTCACCGACCATCAATCGGAATCGATGAGTTCCAATGATTTTTCAGTTTCCTTGAATGCAAACAGTTCGTGTCTTTCGCGTTTACGGTGCGAAGGTGTGATAAAGGTAACGCTTTCGGCGATCTGAATCGCACTCCTTCAGACAAAGGCGGTACTTGAAAGAGTTCAACCAACCTCCGTGAAACAGACCGGAATTGCGACGGATACGCCTCTTTTCACGGTGACAAGTTCGCGTACTCCGCTGAGCCGTACGACAATCTGATCCAATGACGCGACGAATCCGCTGAGGGTATTCCCAAAAATTCGGTGCGCGAAACAAGAATCCCGCGTTTTGGTTGTCTATCCTCGCCTTAGGCATTTGTTCATACTTATAATACGGGGTACATAAAATGGTTTCAACGTAAATCGCGTTTTCCTCGGGTTTTATTGAAGTCTGCGATTCCCCTTAGCAAATACGAGTGTTATGCATTGAACCAGTACCTGAAAAATGTTCAGAAAAGTTTACGGGAATCTCGAGCTACTGGATTCAATTGCAGCTTTTATTTTCAGTGCGTTGTGCTCTGATTTTACTTTTCTGTAAAACTTTTAATCTGGGGCTTCGATTAATCGTGGACAAATTTTGAATCATCGAGAGAGGAAAAATGGTCTCTATACATATTGATCCGCTAGTGCAAACTTCTGATTTAATAACTACCTATGCTAAAATTTCCAGGTGCTCATAATTTTGGCATGAATTGGGCATTCAATTATTTGTGCACAGGCACCCTGCGATTAGCACAGACTTCCAGATTTCTTTGATAAATAATTTCGAGCGAAAACCCATGGAACAAACATTCGCGCATTTTATGCATTGATCATTGGGAGTAGAAACAATTTTTCGCTACTTTAGAGGAAACTTGCGGAATGTCCCGTGCTCCTTGCGTATGTTGAAACGAATCTGTTCGATACCCGAGACGCGATCTTGCTTGTTTTGCCGACAAAGGGGCGAACTCTTTTTACATGATCGTGAACCGGAAGTAAGACGTGCCGTTGTGTCGACGAATGAATTTGCATGCCCGAGACTATCGGTTTCCGCCAATTGAACGAATGACTGCATGCATTTTCTGGTTCAACGCCGGGCTTTTCTTCACACATGCACCACGGCTGAATTCGATGCGGTTTTTTTTTCGCAAAAAAAAAACGTATATTTTCCTCGTCATAGGCCCATGTACTACTGTACTCGGGATTGTCCATAAAAATGTATAGACCCAATTCTCTTAAAATCACTGGTAATCTTCGTGACCGGATGAAATTTCAATGAGATATAAAGTATTTTTTACGTCGTCAGTTTGATGGGAAGCAAGCTATTGAGCGAATCGAAATTCGATTTCTGCACGCTGATCGTTCAACCGCGATCATATAATATTTAATTGAATCTCTGCGTGCAGGCATTCACGCCAGTTATCGATTCGCCGCTGAGGTAGCAAAAAGCCAATTTATAGGTGATTAAATTATTGTTCAACATTCGCGGATTTTGGAATCACTCAACCTGAATCAGTTTTCCGGCTTTATTATCCTGTCCGGTGAATTAAATTGAGGTTGACGAATCACGGATCAAGAATCCTGATGAATCTATCTCTTCTTCATGCCTGAAAGCAGGACTTGGGTCTAATGCATCGCCACTGCGTTTCGGCGTATTTTGGCTGATTGCCGTCCGGATGGATCTTGATTAGCAAATTAGTCAGGTTTTTAAGGATCTCATGCCGGCGAAATAATGAAACCGACAGAGTGGACAACCTTTTCTTCGAGACTCTATCTTCAGTGAGTTGGGGGAATCTTTCGCCGCAGGGTACGCCCAAAGAAAGTCATTGACAAGTCCATGCAATCAACTGGCTCCTAGGGCGGAATATGCTCCGCTAACGATACCAGGTCCCCGCAGGGTTTCAAGCCCCGGAATCCCAATCCGCGGATCCGTTAAATGCCTCGGTAATTAGAAAACAAGCGAGTGATGAAGGTCACAGTGCTGGGGGACCAATAATAAGTGGATTCAGTACTGGGTCGAGATCCGACGGCCACGTGCGGCGTTGACGGATCATCGGCGCGCGCATTCGACCGTGGCGAAGTTGCGGCTTGGCGACTACACGGGTGCGCCACACACCGCAGCCACCAATGGACCCTCCGGCGAGAAAATAAGTTAACCGGATGATGAATCATCCGGATGATCACGACTCTGGCCAACAGCGTTTTTATTGAATCCCTCGTCGCACCGGACCTGAATGAACATTCATGCGAATTTCCGGAACTCACGCGTTCTTCTCATGCATGCACGTTTTGTGTTCCAGAAGAATCCCCGAGTAACCGGCTGTATTCTCTTCTGTGAGTAGGTCCTTCGTGAGAAATTCTTCCAAGATAAGGAACCCCGGTTAACAGCAAAATGCCGTGTTTACTCGAGCTCCACGCGCCCTCAAGTAAGACGCACATCGAGATTTTTCTGCGGGAATTTTGCGCCCACGTTTTTAACAAATCAAAAACTTTATTATATCAAAGATCAGAAAACCCAAATTAGAATTAAAACATGAATTTAAATAATTTTTCATCGTTTCTGTTAAAAATAAGCTTTTCTGTTAAACTTGGTCCAAAATTTCTCAACTGAAACTAAAAAAAAAAAATGAATACCTACATATGATGATTTTTCCCTCCCGACTTTGACAAAGAAGGTGGGCATAGTTTTCGAGTAAATACGGTAAGTGCAAAAACTTCTGTCTGGAGATGCTGTTAAACATAGAAATCTAAACAAAAAATCCCCTAAAGGCTTTTTATTATGGCTGTCGGACTCCAAATGTACACTACTCCCATTTCTTGCAGTAAAAATAAAAGATAGAAACTTGCAACGCAAAGAAAAAGTATCGAGAAGTGAAGCTTTCAAAACATAGCGTTTGACTTATCTGTCCGTAACTCAGAATGAAACGGATTAAATGCAGGAATTTCCAGTTTTCGAGTAAAAATATATATTTGTATGACGAATGGACTCGTGGATATTGATGAAGTATTTTTTTAAAGACTTCGACGTATAACGGGATGGCAAGAAGAGCTCCATAATTTAAAAAAATTCGAAAAAATCTGAGAGCAATGAATCAGAAAATATGAAGCAACTCCTAGCATTATCCAGAACACCCGAAAAACGAAACACCGTTATTTCTTCAGCAATAAGGAGGCTGACTGTCACATGTGACATACCAAGTTCCATTTTTTCATTGGCAAGCATACTGAAATTGAGCCTGTTCCGTAATATTTTTTTCGTGGAGGCCGCTATCCAAGTCGTAAATCGTCCGCAGCCACCACGCCGTTCTGCGGATAGTCCGCTATCTGAAGTGCTCGTTAACTTGAGAATCACTGTGATTCCCTCTAACGGTATGCATCAAACTGTGCAAATTTGAAGCGCGATTGCTACTGCACTCGGTACTTATAATCCCAGCGACGAAACAGCCGCATACTCGTAAAATGACGTCAGTGATGGTGATTCACGGTTTCCATGAGTCGAACGTGTTGAAAATCCATGTGTTATGTTAATCGATTCAGGGAAACATTATGAACGTGTTGATTTTGACGCATTCAGTCGCACATAAAGAAGGTTTTCGATCGCACTCAGCATAAACAATGACTATGTAGACGGAATCCGGAAGTACTGTACTCCTTTTCAGAAGCCGTTCGTACAGTACTTTGAGTCCACCTTCAAGTTGAACATAGAAAAGCTTGTTTCAAAAAAGTTTTCCTGGAATTCCACACGTGACTGTTGCCGAACGACGACCTTCTCGCTCGTTTCTGAAATTATATCCTTTTGTCGTGCGTTTTACTTTTTTTCTCTCACAAATTCACGATTAAACTTAAACTTGTGGCGTCGGGGACATGCTAGATCGTGTTCCGCTTCATCAACAATTACAACGGAATTTTGAGGTTAGTGAGAATATCGTTTAAAAAAACCGCGCTTGTTTCATCTCCCGCGACGAAACCCACGCTTCCGCGAAGAAACGCGCCTTGGAAGTACCCTGGGTTAGATTGCAAAAAGCGTCATCACGCGGTCATCCCCCACTGTGTGTGGTTCATGCTTGAGTGAAGATTTTCGCAAGGGTCCATTCCGAGAGAAAAGAATAATGCGAGGGAAGAATCTTGTTCGTTTCCTCCAAGGGCTCCACTTTCCAGTTCAGTGAAGACGGCGGACGGATTTTCAATCTCCATGTCCGAGCCGACCTTATTTCTTCGTCGCCCTCGGTTAATGGTTTCCATTGACCGACTTTACTCATTATCACAGACGCGTTAATTTTCCGTCAATGTAAAAAACATTTCTGTGCGCATCGTCTCTCTCTCGCTGGATAGAGGAAATCCTGAACCTGTGAAATAAGTAGCGAATATCACGTCGATGCCCGTTTACTCGTATATTATGCATCGTCAATCATAAGATCCGCCTTCCTTTGTTGCCTTGAAAATTAAAAAGTTTCGCGTTATCATTCGAATTATTCAGAACCAGAGGATTCCATAATTTGAAGCGTCAACTGAGTCATCCCTCTCAAGTCAATTATGGTCTGCATTGGTACTTGTTTTGATAGCAAGCTTTATTTCCTGGACGGCTTCGAGCACGGATCTCTTTTTGCATTACAGTATTTCAAATAATATAGATCTCTTCAGCTCTGTAGGGTATTCCTAAGGGACATTTCTAACATTTCTGCAATGAAAAAACTGAAAATGGCGTTTAAATGTCAATCACGGCTAATTTATCGCAAAATTCTGCGTTCATTATGAGCAACCACTTAAAATGAGAGTCTATAATCATGAAATTAATGATGCACCAATTACTGCAATTTAAGTATATATAACCCAAGACCACAAGATTCACCCTGACTAATGTTTTGCATAACAGAGAAGTACTGCACAGGTAATGGAAAAGTTCGAGCACTTTTGATTTCACTCGACCCCATGATAAAAAGCTTGGCCACCCCGAAGATGGAAACATTGAACAAATGCTGTCGCATAAACTTAAGCATAACGTTGAGTCGTTGACTAATTCTCTCAAATGAATTGGAATTTACGAAAGAAGTTTCATAAACTTTTACGCCGTCATTTCGTGGGAAAACTTATGGTTTCCAGGGTTTTCCGTGAATCCTGAATCAATCAAATAAGCTATTTTTCAAAAGAAAAGGTGAATACAGTAGAACGATAAAAAACGACATTTGTGATACGCTCGCTTCGTACTCCACAACTTCTCCACCAAGAAACGATTTACGAGCGTGGGCTGT